TCAGTAATCAGCGGGTTCTTCCATTCTCTGAGCATCAGTCTTTATGCGCGCAGAAGCCTCGGATTCGCATAATTTCTGGGTGAATTTGTCATTATAAAGTCATATTGTAGAAAGCCGTTTCCAATATATCCAACTTTTATGTATCCCCCCCCCCTCCTCACCCTACCTTCCACTATAATGAGCTAGTCCTTATGATTGTTTTGAGACAAACATTTCGGGTTTTATTTGTGTTAGTTCATCCCATCATTCCATTATCGTCCTCATTATTCTATACCTCATGGTTATATCTTTCTTTATTTTGTATTCCGTCAAAATACTCACCTGCAAAGATAGCCTCTCATCTCACTTTATCTAATTCCTTGGCCGCCCATATAATAACGAAGAAAGCGCTTTTTGGTTGAGTGGGCGGAGTGTTCTCAGGGGGCGTGGTTTTGGCACCTTCATGGCGCCTCGAGAGAATTCGGCCATTTTGAGCTATCTTTACAAAACTTCCTGAATGTTCGTCAGGTGATTCGAAATCCCTTCAAATTTACTGTTTATTCAGAAACGCTTTGTTGTCTATTTCGGCTCAAACCTCACAAGAACGTTTGAAGTCGTACTTCCAGAACTTATGATTGTACACTGCTTTTTTCCTCATCATCTCGGTTGCCTCTTATTTCGTCATGTTTTTGACATTTGTTTAATTTTGAACAAATTTTAATTGATTTTTGTATTTGCCGATGTATGCTGATTGCATGAAAACTCTCTTGGAGAACAATAAAGATAAATATTAAATGCAGATTTGAAGTACTGTTTTGTGGGTTATGTGTTCCACCGGTTACCGATGCGTGCAGATGCGGTGCGGTTTATTTGAAACAATACAATGTAGAATACGAAGTGTAAATTTTGAGAGTGTGATGAACCTGCGGCAAGCTTGTTTGCCCTGTGGTGGCTTTGAAAGCTTCGATAGCAGGCTCGAAAGCGTCGCTTTAAGCTGCTACGCGGCCGCTCGCATCTACTATTTGTGCTCATAGACGAGCCCGGAGCCACTCAACACCCTACCCGGGAGGAGTGCCAAGGCAGAGAGGCTTGGTTGGCCCAAGCGAGATTCGATCTGGTACTCGATCCTCGGTCTTCGTGCGTGGTAAATGGCGCTACTTGCCATCAAATCACCTCCGCCCTTTAATCAAATTGAAATTTGGTAAAATTCAAAACTATTGGGTACATTGTTCAGGGGAAAATTGAGCGTTAGTCAACAAGGGTTCCGAATCAGACGACGTTCGATGATGAAACGTCCTCTGAGCTACCATCTTCATCAACGCCACCACTTCCATCTAGGGTCAATCGTTGGCCGGGTCCAGCCTGAGGAAGGGATCTTATCTGAGGTTGACGAAGATCAACTAAGGGATGTATCGACGTCTTTTCGGGAAACCAGGAAAACTGATAACTGGAGCATTTGTCGCTTTCTTGGAACAACCTTTTTACCCACTAATTCTCCTCCCCTTCTCCCTATCACACCGGCTCGACCTTGAATGTCTGTAGACAACAGTGATGGTATGGGTGGGGGGAAGGGGAGGGGGGTGGGGTTTAATTAAAGGAATCCTGAGCGCTGATGGGCGACGATTGGGGATTCGTACCAAACACCTCGCCACGAGAGGGCCGTAATTAGTGTTCGAGATTGGCTTGTCGCTAGGGATTTGATCCTGCTCCCATCAAAATCGTTCTAGGCCAATATTCCAAGTGAGCTTTCCATATAGGGAAAACATGTGTCATGAAAGAAGAAACTAGAAGGTTTTCGAGGACACCAATCTCTGACACTTCTCGATAACCCGCGAGCAGCCAGGAGCTTTTTGCTGTTCGCATTTTTTCTCTTCTGTGTCCGCTTTTTTCCCATTCACCATTTTGTTTTGCTTGCGATACTTGTGATTATCTCGCCTTCCTACGCTTTCCATGTCGGCAGTATTCATGCATATGATCTTCGCAAATGACGACCGTCGGACAGCTCCCAGTTCTTCCATAAAGACAAAGTGCTGATCGCTGTAAGGCCTAAGAAATAGGTGGTAGGACAGTGATTGGGTTCCTTTGTACAGTCCACTACAGCAAATTCCCTTATATATTGAGGAAAAAGCATCTCGATAGGGGAGTTGAGGTCTAGCGCAGTTTTCAAACTCATGAAACTGTTCTGCATATTTTAAATTTGGAGATTTGGTATGTGACCGTATTTTTGAATCTTGTTCTGCTGCACGTAAGGCCGATGTCAGACTTTGCGAATCGCGCGATTCGCTACTAGCGATTCGCGCGATTCGCTAGCGTCCGCGGTCGCGTTGCGGTACCAGCCAATTGAGTGATTCACTGGCCGCGACGCGACCGCAGACGCTAGCGAATCGCGCGATTCGCAAAGTCTGACATCGGCCTAAGGTTGCTTGGGATAGCATTCTGCAGAAATATTCTTTCACTTCTCTTTAGTCAATTTTAGAAATTGAGGGAGAAATTGAGAGAGGCAAAGGGCCATCGATCTGTATCTGGATCGAGTCTCCCTAAAATTCAATCTTTCCCTCTCCTTCCTCTTTCCATGTGTTAGGTCCCAGCGTCGTTTTCTGGATGACTCATGGTTAGCGCTGCCCACTTCGATGGCATGGCATGTACTGCATTCTAACCTGCTCACGTCATTAACCACTGAAGCTCGATAGCAGACGCGCCTGTTCAACACCGGACCGGGATAAGTTCAGTCTGAGAATAGGTGCAATCTTTATTTTCGCTAGGCGTTGGGTCATTACCTCTGATTCGAGAATCGACTGCGGATGAAGAAAATTGCCCTAGGAGGTCACCGTTCTATCGATATGATAAGGCCAGACTCAACTGGTCACAGCACTGGTGGCCGGTGGAGAACAACGCTCACCTCCAACTTCATAATAACTAGTAAATAGTTAAGATTACTGTACAGATGAGGACTGAGTCGCCTTTAGGAATACCCAGCTACTTTTACTGAATCTTCGGCCAGTGGGTGTCCGTTTAGGAAGCAATTTGGGTGGTCAATTATGTGGATCGAAGTCCGCAAGGCGGGAAATGGTGGTAGGGGTCGCGACGTGGGAGGGCAGGGTGTCAATTGATTATTGAACACCGCACCCGTCCAAGGAGCTGACGGGTTCCACTCTGTGCTTTTCTTTGCCTTTTCTATCTCTTCATCCTCTAATATTTCCTCACTTTTCGCTCCTCTCCTTGGAATTCCGTCCGAAATGACAATACCCATGAGTTTTTTGGTGCTATACAAGTAGGGTGGGCAGGCCGCATTTTTTGAACGGAAATGGATGTAGGTGGAACTGCTGCTTGCTTCTATACTGTCACGAGAGTCGTGGTACAATCTAGGGGGAGAGGGGGGGGGGTGGGGATTTGAGGGCAGCCACTTGACCTGCGTGAAAAGTTATACCACTTGGATAACACGAAGTTTTTCGGGTCTCATCCAGTAAGGGGGGGGGCATTGTGATGCAACGTCAAGTGGCTGCCCTCACCCCCACCCCCTAGACTGCCTTCACTCCCCCTGGCTCACGGGGTCCCGTACTTCGAGAAACCTGTGCGCCAGGGGGAGTGTAGGCAGTCTAGGGGGTGGGGGTGAGGGCAGCCACTTGATGCCCCCCTTACTGGATGAGACCCGTTTTTTCTTACTTACGGTGAAGTTTCAGGTGTCAACAGCGAAATCGAGCAAAGCTATCCGTCATCTGTTTTGTTATCGCGATGCTAATCGAAGACGCCACCGAGCAGCATGGGACGACAGGTGAGGTAACTTTTACAAAGTTTCGTGAAGTTGAAATTTGAGCGTTGCTTACCTAAGGGGGGGGGGGCAAAGAATAAGCCGGGTTTGGATCGAAATTCGTACATATTCACGTTCGTATTGAAGTATTTGGATAGGAAGTTGTCTCCGGAGGTTTTTTAACACGTAGAACCCGACTTTAATACGACGTTAGCGCGGAAACGCCAGGTGCCCGCGCCACAAGTGACACCGCCACAAGGCGCCAGCAAGGGTGGATCACCGAATTTGCTGGGAATTTGCCGGGGCAGTAAAGGTAAATAGGGCTTTCTGCGCGGAAACCCCAAAATTGCACAATGAGGCAACTGAACACTAGCAGCTCCATTCCTACCCAACTTTCTCGACTTTTTTCACAATTTTGCACAGCGTTCGGTATTGTATGGTTGGAGGGACCACTTGCGAGCCACTGGAGGAGGGGGGGGGGAGTACATGCCATTTTCCGAGTATAGGCAAGTTCTGAAAAAATAATTATTCTCACTCAATTCGGAGTTTCTTCTTCCCCTGAGAGGATCTCGGGCTAGTTCCTCCGAAATTCCTTCTACTCGAAAACTGGCATGCCCACCCAACTCACATAGCACCTTTTTTCTACCGGTTCATATTTTAACTTGGGAACTGTTTTCAGATCGATGGAGAGGATGGTCCGATTTCGATGAATTGAGGATTACCGAGGAGTCCGCCGTTACACACCCTGCGACAGGTTAGGGACGTCGCTTTGATTTTTTAATATTATAGTAATCTTTCAAATGGAGGTGCAATGCAAGCAATACGGGCATGCCGAATCTGTGAATACGGTAGCCGCGAAATGTGTGTACCTAGGGACTGATGCCTATGCTATGATGTCATGAGAGTTGAGGGAATTTGCGAGCTAGGAAAAAAGGAGTCAATTCAGAGAGTGGGGGGGGGGCGGTCATATGGCGCGATCCCATTGGCATTAGAGCGCACAGGCCGCAATTGCCCCATCCTGCTGCGGCCGGACAACTCGTCCGTATCACTCAACTACTAGACTTCAGTAATTGATCGATCTGATAATTTGGGTCTCAAAAATCTCGCTGAGTCCCAAAGATCTAAAAAGCGGATAGCTTCGCTGGCCTGATGCCAAGGCAAGAGGAACGGAACAGAATGTGTTGCGCGGACGAGTTGTCCGGCCACAGCAGGATGTGGTAATTACGGCCTGTGCGCTCCAATGCCAATGGGATCGCGCCATATGACGCGCACCCAGTGGGGGTGAGGTATGCACATACATTCGGCGCCTACCGTATTCAAAAAATCGGCTTGCTCGTCCCTCTAGCATAGAACCTACTATACACGCACGGATTTTCATGGCACAAGAAATGATCGATTTTGTTGACTGTCTCTCGGATACATATTGATTTTTAGGTGTGTGACGATCTTACGGATCGCAGTAGTCAAAGGCGATCCACTGGTAACTGCTGTAAGGACTGCAGGTATGAAAGAATTACCGCGAAGTCCCGCCGTTACACACCTTACCTCAGGTAGGGATTTCGTTTCAATTTATGATAGTTATTTTACTATAAATTTTACTATATACATAATGTATCGATTTTCATAACAGTAAGCTGACAATAAATATTCGATTTTGTTGACTGCCTCTCTGATATGCGCCGATTTTCAGGTGTGTGACGATCTCGTGGATTGGCGCGGTCTTAGGCCGATGCCAGACTGCGAAAGCGAGCGATTCGCTAGCGTCCGCGGTCGCGTCGCGTTGCAGCGAATCGAGCCGCTCGATTCGCAAAGTTTGACGTCGGTCTTACGCAATCCACAGACCAAGGCGGCAAGGACTACAGGTAAAGATTAAATCCTTCCTTGTTTTTCCTCTGTGCTTGATTGGGTTTGTTTCAGACCCAGAAGGGCGGTCATAGTCCAAGGAGACGGCTTCACGGAGTTTCTGCCAAATGGATCGGCATCGCCTGCGACCGCCTTGTTCGTCCGTCCGTGTGCCCAGAATGGTGTCGGCCGTCCGTCTGCATGCCACGTCACGGGTGAGTGTCTGTCCACGTCCGTCTGTGTCCTTGTGTCCGTCAGTCCGTGTTGGTGTCGTGCCCGTCCTAGACTACGTCCAGGTGGGTGTTGGTCAGCGTCAGTCCGTGTCCTTGTCTGTGGTTTCTCCCCTCCATGTGTCTGCCCTCCGGCTCTACCATTCGCTGTCTGTCTTGCTAGTCTTGCTGCAGGGCCCTTCCGTGTCCCCCTTTACCTATCTGTCCAACTGTCTGTCCGCTCCATCCGTCTGTAGATGTTCGTGGCAACCTTCCTGTCTGCCAGCGTTCTGTCGCTGTCTCTTCCTGCCCGTCTGTCTGTGCTATTCTCTCTACCCCTTCTGTCTGCATACCTACTGCTCCGTCTACCCTACCGCCACTCGGTTCGCCTCCATTGAAGGTGTTTTACGCTTCTGTCCATAGAAAAACGAATCAAAATTGCTGCTCACTGGGAATATGGGCGTTGTTGCCATCATTGTGGGGCTACATTAGGGCAACCCTCGAACAAAGTTGGGTAGGCGAAAGAAATAAGGAATCAGTCTTTCGTTGTGACTGCTGAATCGGAATTTGACAGGTCGATGCTACACGAATATCTCACTTACTTGCTATACGAAGTTTTTCTCTTCACCCGTTCAGTTTTAAATCCTTCCAGTCTCGCATGCTGGCTTTTAGCGGTTACCAAGCAGGGCCACCGTCTTTGGTACAAGTACCAACGATGGGGGAGGGCTGTATTTGCGATCTTGGGAAGGGGATTTCGATTTGACGTTGACAAAGGCTAACAAAGCTTGTAGGAGGTCGTTCTCGTGGTCGTGGTTGCGCAAGGGGGAAGGGGAGGTTGTCTAGAATGGATTGGTGTGAATTGATGAAAACTTGGAAACATCGGCCGTTTGTCAGGTCATCGCCCGACATATACAGCAGCTTTGGAGTGAAAAAGTGGGCGGAATTGGAGCGTGTCGACTGATCTCAAATTCAATTACTGTAGAATCCACGGACATCCTAGCTGGGCGTGGCGCCGCTATGTTGGGGGGGGGGATTAGGTGAATAATAGAAGGGTGTATTTAGCTCTTCACTCGATTTGACTGGATTCAGTACTTCAACCCCTTTCTGTTTCCTACATTTTGGATTGCTTCGTAGTTCGTTTGTGGCTTCAAGCGGTTCAGGGAGGATTAACTTGTTTGGGGACAAGCTACAAGGAGAGGAGGCTTGTATTTTGTCATTTTGGGAAGATGGTTGGTGTCATTTAGGTGACGAAGGCTAACTGAGTCGTAGATAGATGAGTGGTATCTGTGATGAATAAGGGGGTCGTATTCACACGAAACGGGTCGTTTTGAGGCCGATGTCAGACTTTGCGAATCGCGCGATTCGCTAGCGTCCGCGGTCGCGTTGCGGTACAGCCAATTGAGTGATTCAGTGGCCGCGAACGCGACCGCAGACGCTAGCGAATCGCGCGATTTCGCAAAGTCTGACATCGGCGGGACGGTCCCTCTGGCAAATGTCTTGAAAACTTAACGTTAATGTAACGTTGGCCGTGTTTTCAGTTATCCGCCTTCTGGTTTTGACGATCAGGTTTCGTTGGGGTCGTCATCAAATACTATTAAAATTCATATTATGAGGTAGTGATTGGAGATGGTAGGAATGCGGTGGTGATGGGATATATGGACTCCAGTGAAGGTCGTAAATTGATTGAAATAGGCTAGCGGTAGGGCTTGAGGCTGCTTTAAGTTCTTTTCAAGTTTCTTTACTGTATCTGTGTCATTTCTGCTGTGTCTCCTTGTGTTTGCCTTCTCCTTTTCTTGACATTTTTCCTGATTCTTTTTGTTCACTTCTATTGTTCCCTGCAACTCTCTGTTCATTGCCGTTCTCATATTCCTGTTCGTTTTCTCACGCTCTTTGTTCAGCTGATTGTTCAGCTGACTGTCTCCTTTCATCTTTTGGCTGCTCGATCATTAGGGTACCTGAAAGCCTGCGGAATAAACAGGGCGGTGGAAGCAGGCTTTGACATATTACGATAACTGGGACCTATCTTACAACCGCAATTCTTTTCCTGGAGCAGCATCCTTGATTTACATGGGCAGTAGTGTTGACACACAGTGAAGACGGACTTGGGTAGCTCATGGGTGGACCGGGTTGTAGACATGCAGACAGAGGTAGGTGGAGAGGATGTGCTCAAGACAGGCGGGACAGGTGGAGGCGGACGCTGACGGACTGAAGGGGGAAGGTTGCCGCGAACATAGCAGAGATGGAGGTGGACAGGGGGCGAGGTGGAGGTAGGGAACGGATGACCGCAGCTGAGGGGGAGTGGCAGACGCAGTGAGGGGAGGTGGAGACGCGGTGAGCAGAGGTAGTCGTTGGTGGTGGGTAGGCCATGGGAGAAGGGATGGGGATGGATAATATGCGCAAGACAGACGCGGGATTGCATAATTGAATATCCTTTGGAAATCTACACCGCCTGCTGTTCTCTTCGCAAGCTGACCCCCCCCTTTCTAACTGGTCACGCCTACCCGCCCCGTGCTAAACCCGTGTCTCTCACTCTCCGCTTTCTGCCTCGGCCCTTCGCCGGTCAACCCTTCCACCTCCTCCCTACCATCTGCCTACCACGCTCTGCCTCCCCCTACATCTGTAATATGTCCGAGGACCTGTCCACAATCCGTCTACTTCTGTGCCTGTCCGTCCCTATCCTGTCTTGCTGTGCACGCCTACTTCTACCCCTGGCTGCATTTCTCCCAGTCGGTCCACCTTCGCCCTACCCTCTTTGGTCTCCATCCATTAGTGTCTATTTGGTCACCTGCTTATGTTAACACAACGCAAGCTTCAAGAGCGAAACCGTTGCCACGTCGTATCTTTGTCGTTAATAGGTCTTGGAACTCTACTTACAGCTCCCAGCGACAAGTTACTTCGATAGCTATTTGTTTTGTTCTGCCAACAGATGTCGGAGGTGAATGTCGAAGATGGGCAGAGAAGGAGAATGAACAAGAAAGAAGAATAAAAACAAGAGAAGGAGAAATGCCGTAGGAATGAGAGAGAAGTACAGATAGAAAAGAGAAAATACAGAAGAGATACAGAGAATAGACATACTAAAGAAGTAACATCGAAAAAGAGAAGAAGTAGTTAAGAAAAATTGACAATTAAAGGGAGAAAATCCTACCAGTTGAAATCGAGATATTCGTGTTCCACTAGAGGAACTACCTACTATCAGTTGAACCGAGGAAGTGAAAGGCTCAACCATCCGCTGACCAGTTCCCAGTGTCCCGTATTTGCTATTTGGTGAGAGGGGATCGTATTCGGCCAGTTTTTTTGACACTTTCGTTGGAAACTTCAGGAGAGGACTTGCTTTTTGAAGATATATCTGGGACGGGGGGGAGGGGGGCAAAAAAAAGACATTTCGCCATCTATTACCTCGTTCGCCTTACCAGGGTCAACCCTACGTTGTTACGAGTAACAACGGGGGGTCGTACCTGGTTGAGTTTGTAGGAGGGGGGGTCGTACCCACTTTAGTCGCTCGAAATCACGTGTGGGATTGAGGTGAAACTAAGATTTCGTGGGTAGTAGGCTGGGCGAGTGGAGGGCGCGCAGGATAAAAATTTGCCGTTTCAGCGGGCGTTATATTCAGAGTGACTATATACCCCCCTCGACGACATTTTTGGAGGAAAAAGTGGGCGGGGTTTTGATGGAAGATGGAGATGGTGGAGGTAGGGAAAAGGGGGTCGTATCAAATCCACGTTGGGGGAGGGGGGTCGTAAAAAATTTTCGAAAAGTAACAACGATAGGACAGACCCTGCTCCGGACCCATTTAGGGTATAGGTGATCGGAGATGGAGGGGCTACCCTCTATAGCCGTGGGGCTGGTGAGGGATGTATGGCGTGAAGGGTCGTAAAATTGTTGGAAATAGGCTAGCGTAGGGTTGGGCGCTGCTAAAGTCCTCTCATTTTCTACGTGTGTCTGGTGTCGCCTCGCCTTTTCTCCATTTTTTGCTTCTATTTTATAACATTTTCCTGATTTTTTTCCTTCAGCTTAGGCCGATGTCAGACTTTGCGAATCGCGCGATTCGCTAGCGTCTGCGGTCGCGTCGCGGCCAGTGAATCACTCAATTGGCTGGTACCGCAACGCGACCGCGGACGCTAGCGAATCGCGCGATTCGCAAAGTCTGACATCGGCCATTATGCTCCCTGAAACTATGTTCATTGCCGTTCTCATATTCCTGTTCGTTTTCTCACGCTCTTTGTTCAACTTTGTTCAGCTGACTGTCCTCCTTTCATCTTTTTAGGCTGTCGATCAATTAGGTACCTAAAGCCCGCGGAAAACACACGGGCGGTGGGGGATGCTTTGACATATTCTACGATAACTGGGACCCTATCTTACCAACTGCAATTCTCTTCCTGGAGCAGCATCCTTGATTTACATGGGCAGTAGTGTTGACACAACAGTGAAGACGGACTTGGGTAGCTCATGGGTGGACCGGGTCGTAGACATGCAGACAGAGGTAGGTGGAGAGGATGTGCTCAAGACAGGCGGGGACAGGTGAGGCCGGGCGCTGACGACTGACAGGGGGAGGTTGCCCGAAACATATAGGAATGGAGTTGGACGGCCGGCTGGATGCAGGGAGAAGGGAATCGGATGACCGCACGCCTGAGGAGGGTAGGCAGACAGCAGTGGGGAGGGGAGAGCTGTGGGAGCAGAGACGGGGTGCGCTGGACATGGGAGTGACAGAAGGGGGTGAGTATAGTGCTCAAGACAGACGGCTGGGGGTCGATTGCATAATTGACATACTCCTTGAACATCTCACCCGCCTGCTGATCTCTTCGCAGCTCCCCCCCCTTTCTCCCTCCATGACTACCCACCCTGCTTCTACCCGTCCTCTCACTCTCCTCTTGTTCGCCTTCGGGCCCCTTCCCTGTTACACCCTTCCACCTCCTCCCTACCATCTGCCTACCACGCTCTGCCTCCCCCTACATCTGTAATATGTCCGAGGACCTGTCCACAATCCGTCTACTTCTGTGCCTGTCCGTCCCTATCCTGTCTTGCTGTGCACGCCTACTTCTACCCCTGTCTGCATGTTCTCCCAGTCGGTCCACTTTCGCCCTACCCTTTTTAGCCTCCATCCATTAGTGTGCTAGTCTGTCCACACTGCTATGTATAACACAACCGCAGCTTCAAGAGCGCAACCGTTGCCACGTCGTATCTCTGTCGTTAATAGGCCTTGGAACTCTACTTACTTACTCCCAGCGACAAGTTACTTCGATAGCTATTGTTTTGTTCTGCCAACAGATGTGACGGAGGTGAATGTCGAAGATGGGCAGAGAAGGAGAATGAACAAGAAGAGGAATAAAAACAGCCGAAAGGAGAAAATGCGTTAGGGAAGAGAAAGTGTAGAAGTTACAGATAGAAAGAGATAAATACAGAAGAGATACTGAGAATAGACATATTAAAGAAGGAACATCGAAAAAGAGAAGTCGTTAGAGAAAAATCGACAATTAAAGGGGGAAAATCCTACAGTTGGGAGCTGTCACTGGGTTGTCGAGCATATTCGTGTTCCACTAGAGGAACTACCTACTGAACCGTGGAAGTGCAAAAAGGCTCAACCATCCGCTGAGCAGTTCCCAGTGTTTTAGCCCATATGCTATTTAGTGAGAGGGGATCGTATTCGGCCAGTTTTTTTTTGACACTTTCGTTGGAAACTTCAGGGGGACTTGCTGTTTTTGAAGATACATATACAGGGACGGGGGGGGGCAAAAAAGACATTTCGCCATCCTATTCCTCCGTTCCCTTACGACCAGGGTCAACCCTACGTTGTTACGAGTAACAACGGGGGTCGTGTTGAGTTTGTAGGGGGGGGGGGGGTCGTACCCACTTTAGTCGCTTCGAAATCACGTGTGGGATTGAGGTGAAACTAAGATTTCGTGGGTAGTAGGCTGGGCGAGTGGAGGGCGCGCAGGATAAAAATTTGCCGTTTCAGCGGGCGTATATTTCAGAGTGACTACATACCCCCCCCCCCTGCTCGACGGCATTTTTAGAGTGAAAAAGTGGGAGATGGTGGAGGTAGGGAAAAGGGGTTCGTATCAAATCCACGTTGGGGAGGGGGTTACGTAAAAATTTTTCGAAAAGTAACAACGATAGGACAGACCCTGCTTACGACCCTTTCCCCTCCCAACCCTTCCCCAAGTACGACCCTTTTCGTTCGAAAAGAGTCAATGGACGGTGGATCCTGCCTACACAGACAATAGATGGTAAACCCCACCTGCATCATATTTTCTTACATACATGGGGGGGGGGGGGGCAAAAAATAGACATTTTGCCCATGTCGCACTTCGGCCCTTTTTTCGCAGATTGGAAGTCCCCCAGCAAAATATTCCATAAATGTCTCTCTATGAGTAGGCGCAGGCCAGATTTCCGGGGCAAATTTTTCTGATGCTGTCCACGTAGGTGGCCACTATTAAGACTTTCTATAAAATGAAAGTTCTCTTCAATACCAAGTTGGAATTATTCGCTTTTAATTGAGCAGAGTTTGATTGAATCCATCTGAATCCCCCTCCCCTTCCCAAAGAGCAGGGGTTGTAAAATTTCTGGAATTGGAACAGCGGACGGTTGACCCGTGTGCAAAGTCGGAATCAACGGAAAAGGTTGCAAGGGAAGAAGAGCAAGCCGAGGCAGCAGAGATCATTAGAAAATAGTGGGATTTGGCGAATGAGACAGAAGGAAGCTTTCACAGAAGGAGCGAAAGAACAGAGAAATCTGTCGATTAGAAGGAGAATTAAAATTATAACAGAAAATTGTATCAAAGATAAAATTCGATGGCGATAGATAAAATCCCTCACTTCAGTCAATTCCTCACCGTACCCACACTATTTAAGGAAGAGAAAAAACCTCCCCTTAAAGTTTTGAATTTAACGACAAAGATACTATTATGACACCGAGAGCTTTCAGATTCTCGAAGCGTTTTTGATTAAACTTTAGTGGACAGTACACCGACACTAAGAATTGAGACAGATAGGAAGGCAGAATGTCAGACGGCTGAGAAACACACAGACAGAAGGTAGGGAGACGAGCACAGATAAAACAGGCAGGCAGGAATAGACATTGACAGAAGAGCTGAGGCCAATGTCAGACTCTGCGAACTGAGGGATTCGCTAGCGTCCACGGTCGCGCCATGGCCAGCGAGCAAACTGGTTGTAACCCGCAACGCGACCCCCCCGATCGCTAACGGAATTCGCTGATTCGCAAAAGCCTGACACCAGGCCTGACGAAAATGCCATGCTGGAGCAGGGTCAACCGTCCGTTCGAACTGTTCGAACGGGGGGGGTCGCATTTGGGTTCTGGGAGGGAAAAGGGGTCGCATTGCGCGCGTTTGGTCATCAGGCAGGGCAGAGGTGTGTGTGAAAAAAGTTGCCGTTTCAGTGGTTGTATATACCCCCCCCCCCCCCGTTCACTGGTGTACATACCGCCCCTCCTCCGCTCCAACGGCCTTTTTTGGGGGCACAGTGGCGTGATTCCGGAATTTCATGTTAAGGTTTGGTTGTCCCACCACTGTTTCAAATACTATACGTAAGATAGGAGAGGTCGCGGTGGAGGAAGGCTGGTTGTATTGGGAGGGGTCGCAACTGGACCCTCTCGAGAGGGAGGGGGTCGCAAAAAATCCCGAAAATGTTCGAACGTGACGGTTGACCTGTTGCCGGACGACATATTCAGACGGGTGGTAGACAGACGGTCGGGCAGATATCGTAGAGGCGGGTGCGGATGGGCGGCACAACCACACGAAGGCCGCAGAGACATAGAACCGGAAAGACGAGTAGAAAACAGTGCGGGCAAGTTCGCCAGAGGGAAGACACGGACTGACGCAGACCGACACCCACCCGGACGTAGTCTCGCACACGGACGACACCAACACGGACAGACGAGATTGGGCGG